TGGGGTGGTGGATACAGCTGGAGATAATTTGGGAAAAAAGTTGGTAATAAAGATACAGAAAAAGGCTTTTGATACCCTAATATACTGACGGTTGATAAGAACATGGGTATGTGTATGCTAATGTATGCAAGCATGTACGGGTGTGTATGGACGCACACACAATCCAACATGCATACAGGTATACTTACATATACATGCATGTAAGCTGTACTTTCACCCAAATACATATACAGACACACAAATACTGACAGACAACCACACCCCTTCCTCTATAAACATACACACACCACACACAGATACACACAAATGCACAAAGATACACATAGATACACAAAGATACACACACACACATATACACACAGACACACAGATTACAAAAGATACACACAGACACACACAGATACACAAAGATACACACACTCACACAGATTATAAACGATACACACAGATACACAAAGATACACACACATTACCAAATACATCACAACACACACAAATGAATTCTCTTTATTTCCTCCATCTTTTCCAACACCAAGAATTGCAATACCGGATGCCACAGGGCCTCCGCGCTCCCCACAGGCCCATAAAACGTTACTCAAAAGTGGCCGTAAAAGTCCCGTGGAGACAAAAGAAGTCCTTTTAAAGATTTGACATAAGGGCGAAGGGAAGGAAAGGGTCCTCATGCCTCATAGACGTCACCAGGAGGGCCATAAAACACACGCAAAAAACACTTAAACCATCACCATAGATGTCATGGCTGCTAGACATCCATGGGAACATCAGTACCCACCATAGACGTCACCATGGGATCAGGGAACTTTAGCGGACACTATACGGACGCCAAACTCACCATAAATGTCAGCATGGGATCCGCTAAACATCCATGGGAACATCATTACACACCACAGACGTCACCATGGGATCAGTGGACATCATGCGGGCACTATAGGGACGTCAAACTCACCATAAACGACATGAGATTCGCTAGACATCCATGAGAACATCAGTGCTCACCATAGACGTTATCATGAGAATCACTATAGGGACGTCAAACCCACCATAAACGACAACATGGAATCCGCAGAACATCACAGAGCACCCCAGGAATATCAATACTTGCCTTTAGGGATTGCAAAACACCATAGAACACAACAGGTGACACCAAAATTCACTATAGACGCCACCGAGAGGACAATAGACCGTCTGGAGCATCACTCACCATCTAACTTTTGCTATAGGAAGCCCCCAAGCACTAAAAAATGCCTTTGCACCATAGAAATCACCATGGAAATCACAGGAGCGGCACAGAACACCACAGGGACACCGGTACTCACCACAGCATTCTCCACATTAACCAGAGAACGCAGGAATGAGCACCATAGATCACCACCCAACTCCCCAAAGATATCACCCGGCAAATACACATACACATACATACATATAGAATACACATACATACGTTACATACACACGCATACACACATACCCACAACACACACACACACACACAAACTGAAAAAAAAAAATGAAAAAAAAAAGAAAAAAAGAAAAAAAAAAAACTCACCATACTCTTCACCATAGGAAGCAGAGAGTAGCGAAGGAAAGGCCAGTCACTGTAGCTCTCCACCTGCTGGCCGTTCACCTTCTCGACGACCTCCTTGGCCAGCTTGTGGAAGTCCTTGTGGCTCTTGAAGGGGGAGTTCTTCGGCTGCTGCTGGAAGAACTCCTCCGCACTCCACGCCTTCGGGGGTGGGGGAGGGGGGAGGGGGAGGGGAGGGGATGAGGCAAGTTTTTATTAATTGCATTCGTAATAAGGGTATCATGGCATTGGTATTTTAGTGTTAATATGATGATCGTTATCATTACTTCCACTACTAATAATGATACTAATGCTGTTATCGCTATTACTACCATTATAATGTTATTATACATCATCATTATCATCACAATATTGATTATCAACACCATTATCACCACTATAATTATCATCACCACAATTAACATCATTATCACACCATCATCACCATGTCACCACCGACATCTTAACCTAGCCATCTATCCACCAGCCTACGCATCCTCGCTATCTAATAATCTTTCAATCTTCCCATCTATCCCATCTATCCCATCCATCCCATCATCCCCCGCCCACAAACCCCGTTAAGACGACCCACCTGGTTCCTCCACGCCTTGGCAGCGAAGTACACGGGCGTCGCCAAGCCGTAGTTGGGCCAGTCCGCCGGCTTCTTCTTCGGCAGGATGGACTTGGCCGTGGTGTTGGAGATGGCCTGGTGGGGGAGGGGCCACATCGGGAGGCCGTGGGTGTACCAGTGGTATTTCGTGTCCTTCAGTTGTTCCACGTCGTTGATGGTCCAGTAGGGGTCGTCTATTACGTTCTGTGGGTGGGGTGGGAGAGGGGTTAGGGGGTGGGAGATGAGGGAGGAGGAGGTAAAAAGAGGGGAGGGGAGGTGAGGGAGGTAAAAAGAGGGGAGGGGAGGTGGGGAGGTAGGGAGGTAAAAAGAGAAGGGAAGGGTAGGGGGGTAGGGGAAGGGGAGAGGTGTGTGTTGAAAAGGGGGGTGAGTGTGGTTGAGGGGGTAAATTCTGTTGGGTAAGATTTTTTTTTTGTCTTTCTTTCCCCTTTATGTCTATTTTCATTTTTTTTTCTCTCTCCCCTCCCTCCAGTCTCTTCTCTCCTCCTCCCTCCCCCCCTCCCTCCCACCTCTTCTCATTCTCCTTCTCTTCACCCTCCCTCTCCTCCCCTTCCCTCTCTCTCCCACCTCTCTCTCTCCCTCTCTCTCTCTCTCTCATCTTAGAATCGCTACCCATCTCCTCTACTCGGTTAGTAACTAATTTACATAAATGGAAAAGGAAAATGTTTATGTAAATTTGTACGTCCGGTCATCTCTGTACATTGATGCGATATTCTGCGCGTTTCAGAAATTTTAAAAAGCCATTTCTCTATCTGCAGGTCTATCTATTTACAGTATATCTATTTATGTATTAGCCTACCTATCCTCGCTATCTGATCATCTTTCAATCTATCCATCTATCCCTTATCTGTCAGTCTGTCTAGCCATCTATTCAGTTTATCAGGCCATTTATCTACCAATATATCTTTCTACCTATCAATCTCCTATCTATCTGCCTATCTATCCTGCTATCTATCCTTACTCTTATTTAGAATATACACAAAATTGTTTAGAAACCCCACATGAGAAAAAAAACAAAACAAGAAAAGCGGCCTTTGCATGCAGATGGTCTTTATAAAGAGAAAAAAATAATCTATACTTGCCTGAGCGACCATTCTAAGTGGAGTTATAAGTAATTAATACAAGCGAAATATCCCGATAATTGGGAATAGGTAACTTTGCATCGTTGCACAAACCAGCGTGTGGGCGTTGGTTGGGCAATTGCTGGTCGCATAAGGCAGGTGGTCGTTGTAAAAAGATAGTTTGTAATGTGGCTTTTCTGAAGGGGAATTTCAAGTGGTCGTTCTATACAAACCGATAGATTTGATTGTGTTAACATATGTGATATCAAATGTTTTATATAAATGTCTATAATTTGTGTGCGCGTTTATGTATGTATGCATGCATATATGTATGCATGTGTTTATATGTGTATATGTATATAAATGTATCTATATCTATATGTATCTATGATCTATATATATATATATATATAATAATATATATATATATATATATATATATATGTATATATATGCATGTATATATGTATGCATGTATATATGTATGCATGTATATATGTATGCATGTATATATGTATGCATGTATACATGTATGCATGCATATATGTATGTATATATACACATACATATACAGGCAGACAGACAAACATGTATAAATGTACATGCACAAACATGTATGAATGTACATGTACAAACACACACACAACACAACACAACACACACAGCACACAACAGAGCACACACAGCACACACAGCAACACACAGACACACACAGCACACACGCACACACACGCGCACACACGCACGCCACACACACACACACAACAACACACACACACACACACACACACACACACACACACAACACACACACACACACCACACAACACCAACACGCTCCCCCCCCCTCCACCTCCCCTCCCACGCCCGGGCACCGACCTTGGCATCCCCGGAGTGCCACTTGGCCGCGTCCTCGAAGTTGTCCCTGTGCAGGTTGAAGATCGCGAACTGCTTCATTTTGTCATCGAGTTCGACGTGAGTGACTCCCGCTTCGCACAGGTCTCGAAGCACCGACTCCCGCGTGGCCGAGCGGCGAGATGCGTCCACGAATCTGAGAAGAGAGAGGAATGAGAAGAGAAAAATAAAAAAGAGGACGAAGAAAATGGTGTGCGTCAAGATGCGTCTACGAATAAAGGAGAGAGAGAGAGAGAGAGAGAGAGAGAGAGAGAGAGAGAGAGAGAGAGAGAGAGAGAGAGGAGAGAGAGAGAGAGAGAGAGAGAGAGAGAGAGAGAGAGGGAGAGAAGAGAGAGAGAGCAAGAGAGCGAGAGAGCGAGAGAGCGAGAGAGCGAGAGAGCGAGAGAGCGAGAGAGCGAGAGAGAGAGAGAGAGAGAGAGAGAGAGGAGAGAGAGAGAGCGAGAGAGCGAGTTAAAGAGAGAGAGAGATAAAGAGAGAGAGAGAAAAGAGAGAGAAAAAGAGAGAAAAAGAGAGAAAAAGAGAGAAAAGAGAAAAGAGAAAAAGAGAAAAAGAGAGAAAAACAGAGAAACAGAGAAAAAGAAAGAAAAGAAAGAAAAAGAAAGAAAAAGAAAAAAAAGAAAGAAAAAGAAGAAAAAAAGAAAAAGAGAAAAAGAAAGAAAAAGAAGAAAAAGAGAAAAAGAAAAAGAAAGAAAAAGAGAAAAAAGAAAGAAAAAGAGAAAGAAAGAAAAAAAGAGAAAAAGAAAGAAAAAGAAAAGAGAAAAAAGAAAAAGAAGAAAAAGAAAGAAAAAGAGAAAGAAGAAAAGAGAAAGAAGAAAGAAAAGAAGAAAGAGAAAGAGAGAAGAAAGAAAGAGAAAGAGAGAAAGAGAGAAAGAGAAGAGAGAGAAAAGAGAGAAAGAGAGAAAGAGAGAAAGAAAAAGAAGAGAAAAAGAGAAAAAGAGAGAAAAAGAGAGAAAAAGAAAAAGAGAAAAAAGAGAGAGAAAAAGAGAGAAAAAGAAAGAGAAAAAGAAAGGAAAAGAGAAAAAGAGAAAAAGAGAGAAAAAAGAAAAAGAAAAAGAAAAAGAGAGAAAAAAAGAAAAGAGAGAGAAACAGAAAAAAACAGAAAAAGAGAAAAAACAGAAAAAAGAGAAAAAAAAGAAAAGAGAAAAAGAAAGAAAAAGAGAAGAAAAAGAAAGAAAAAGAAAAAAGAAAGAAAAAGAGAAAAAGAAAGAAAGAAAAAAGAAGAAGAAAAAGAGAAAAAGAAAGAAAGAGAAGAAAAAAAGAAAAAGAAAGAAAAGAGAAAAAGAAAGAAAAAGAGAAAAAGAAAGAAAAAAGAGAAAAAGAAAGAAAAGAGAGAAAGAAAGAGAAGAAAGAAAAAGAGAAAGAAAGAAAAGAGAGAAAGAAAAGAAAAAGAGAAAAGAAAGAGAAAGAAAGAGAAAGAGAGAAAAGAGAAAGAGAGAAAGAGAGAAAGAGAAAGAGAGAGAAAGATGTTAGTTGGTAAATGGTAAACAACGAAAAAAGAAAAAGAAAAGAAAAAGGAAAATATAAAAGAAAAAAAGTTAAATGCAGAAAAAAAACAGAAAAAAACAATGCAAAAAAAAAGAAGAAAAAAAAAATCCTTCAACACTCCGTCAGATTACTTAACACTTTCAAACTACTTACTTGTCACACCTTAGCTAACACTCCCCTCACTGAACACCCTCCCAGCTTACCCAAGACACCTCTACCTTCTACAACACCTCTAGTTTACTTACTTGATTTCCCGACACATGTCCACGGGGTCAATGGTGTTGCTTCGGCCAAGGGAAGGCGTCTTGACCAGCGCCCATGCCAGCTGCACGCCCATCAGAGACAAAATCAGGATCTGGCCCACTGCGCCCATCTTGGTTCGAACTGCGAATGAGAATGATAAAATGATAAAAGCTTTAATAATGATTATAATAAATTATGATAATGATAATAAAGATGATGATAATGATAAGAAAAACGATGATAATGATAAGAAAAACGATGATATGAATAAAAATGATAATGATAATGATAATAAAATGATAATGATAATGATAATGATACAATGATAATGACAATGAACAATGATAATGACAATGAACAATGATAATAAATGATAATGAAAATGAAAAATAATAACAATGATAATGAAATGAACAATGATAATGATAAAAACAATGATAATGACAATGAAAAATGAATAAACAATGAAAATGAATAATGAAATGATGATAATGAAATGATGATAATGATAATGAACATGATGTATATGATAATGACAATGAATGATAATGAAATAATGATAATGACAATGAACAATGATAATGATTATGAGAAAATGATAATGATTGATGAAAATGAAATAACAATGATGAGATGAATTGATATAATAAATGAAATTAATGACAATGAACAATGATAATGATAAAAACAATGATGATAATGATAAATGATAATGATAATGAACAATGATCATGAGATAATAAATAAATGAAATGATGATAATAATGATAATGATAATGAAAATTATGATAATGATAATGAACAATGAAATGATAATGATAATGAACAATGATAATGATAATGAACAATGATAATGATAATGATGATAATGATAATGAACAATGATAATGAAATGAAAATATAAATGAAAATGAAAAATGATAATGTTGATAAAAAATTGATGATAATGATAATAAAAAAATATGATAATGATAAGAAAAAAAGATGACAATGATAAAAAATGATAATGATAATAAAAATGATGATATGAATTATAACAATGAAAATACTGATAATTCTTTACGTCCAAAAAATCATTCATCAATATAAGTTGTGGCGTTACTGTTCGTGTCTGCAGGTTATTTCTTAAACCGACCTCTGCAACTTTTTGTCCTCTACAAGAATATACAATTAGCCCTAACTTAGTGCGTCCATATCGTAAAGATTTATTTATTTATTTATTTTTGCGTTACCGTTTGTCTGAGGAATATTTCTCATACCGATAACTATTTTTTTGTCCTCTATAAGAGTATCTTCAATTTGTTTTGTCTTGGTGCGTCCATACCGTGAAGATGAACCCAAATACAGCTTACATATACATACGTTTTCGTAAGGAATGCTGCCAAATTTACGAAGGAATGTTGATTTTTTTAGTTCTGTTTGCAGACGATATACATGGCATTATATTTTCATTCCTCAGTCAGTTCAGGATCGGTGTAAGGATGACGCCGTGAGAACATTAATTTGTATAATTGGAATACTAGGAAATCAGCATAAAATGCCTTTGAAATATACATTCTTTGATTATTAAAGAGTCCATAAAATACCAGAACTGCAGATGCGTGACGCCATTGTTTATCGTCGATGTCAAAAAAAAAAAAAAAGAAAAAAAAAAAAAAAAAAAAAAAAACGGACAGTTTTACGTATAGCACAAAATTTTCGTTCATCAGGCGGATTTTTTTTTTTTTTTTTTTTTTATAATTTCGAGTACTGACCTGCCTTCACTCACTTGGTTATATAGATAGAAATAAATAGATGGGTGAATAAATAAAAAGACAGGCGGATATATATCTGTATAGATAGGCAGACAGATAGCTAAACAGATAGATATATAGACTAATAAACTGACTGATATACTAACTGATACACAGACATACAGACAGAGACACGACAGGTACACACACTGACACAGAGACAGTGACAGACACAATCTAAGAAAGAAAGTACCCACCTTTTGCCCTCAAACACACGGGAAAAAACACGCCCACATCCACTGACTTACTGCCCTGCACTCCACCTTTTGTTTACCTCGAGGATGTGACCAGTAAACAACATAACCAAAGACCATCTAAGACAGTCTTTGAACATGACGACTGAGGCTCCAATTTGCTCCCGGTGATTGGCATATTATTAACTTAGACCAATTAAGATTTCCGTTTATATGTACAACGTTTCATCTGGGTTTGCTTTTATGTCTATTTCGTATCTTGACTGAATGCGGTTTCCAGGTTAATGTAATAGACATTTTCTTTTCATTTAGTTATTGTTATTCCATTTTCAACGGTTTACAAACAGCAGTTTAAGAATTCGGTTGTTTTGTCGGTCCTTTTCATTCGTTAGTACATTCGTTAGTTCTAGTTTTTGTGACTTAAACTATGTCTTGTATGCCTTATGAATGCGATTTTCATTATTTAGTTTTGTGTTTTGTTTTGTATCGAATTGTCTGTTAAGTAAAATTGATAGTGATTATGATGCTGTTAATGTCACTTCAAAGACAAAATTCTCATAAGTACAAATATACATACATACATATACTCACATACACACACACACAGATATATATATATATATATATATGCATACATATATACATACAAATACATACATACATACATATAGATATAGATATAGATAGATAGATAGATAGATAGATAGATAGAGAGAGACGAGAGAGAGAGAGAGAGAGAGAGAGATATATATATATATATATATATATATATATATATATATATATATATATATATATAATACATATACATCAACAACATACAGGATACGATAGATAGATAGATAGATAGATAGATAGATAGATAGATAGATAGATAGATAGATAGATAGATAGATAGATAGATAGATAGAGAGAGAGAACGAGAGAGAGAGAGAGAGAGAGAGAGAGAGAGAGAGAGAGAGAGAGAGAGGAGAGAGAGAGAGAGAGAGAGAGCGTAAGAGATGAGAGACAGAACAGAGAGAAAGAAAGTAAAGAAAAGAAAAGAAAGAAAAAGAGAAAGAAAAAAAATGAAAAGAGAGAGAGAAAGAGAAAGAAAGGAAGAGAAAGAAAAAGAAAAGAGAGAGAGAAAGAGAGGAGAGAGAGAGAGAGGAGAGAGAGAGAGAGAGAGAGAGAGAGAGAGAGAGAGAGAGAGAGAGAGAGAGAGGAGAGAGAGAGAGAGAGAGAGAGAAGAGAGAGAGAGAGAAGAGAGAAAAAAAAAAAGAAAAAGAGAAAGCGAGAGAGGTAAAGAAAGGAAGCGAAAGAAAAAGAGTCAGAGCGAGAAAAGGAAGAAAAAGAAAAAAAAGAAAAAGAGAAAGAAAAAGAAAAAAGGACGAGAAAAATCAAGAAAGGGAAGAAACAGAAAAACTGAAAATAAAAAGAAAAAGAGAAAGAGAGAAAGAAAAAGAAAACGAGAGCTTACCCGCCACAGAAAACGACGCTACAATTTATATCCCTCGAACGCACGCACGCACGCACGCACGCACGCACGAGAGAGTAAGATCAATTCTTAGCTGGCGGGGATTCGGGGCGAGTTTGTGTTTTTGTTTGTTTTGTTTGTTTGCTGGGGGAGGGGGGGTGATGGTAAGGGGTGGGGAGGGAAGTTGGGGAGTGGGGGGGGTTTGAGGAAGGGGGGGGGTGGGTTGAGGATGAGGGGTGGGGGGGTTGAGGAGAGGGGTGGGGTGGAAGAGAAGGAAAGGGGTGAAGGGGATAGGTGGGGGGGGAGGGTGAGGTGGATGGGATGGGGGGGGTGGGGAGGAGTGGGTGTGGTGGTGGGTACTGGAAGGGGATAGAGGGAGGGAGGGAGGGTGAGGGGGGCTGGGGGATGAGGGAGGGGATGAAGAAAAATAAGAGGAAAGAAGAAAATGGACAGAGGGGAATATCTGTCTATCTTTTCATCCATCTATATATCTATCTATCTGTCTATCCATCAACATCAACACCTCCACCCTATCTATTCTCTATCTGTCTATCTATTAACATCTAATCTGTCTATCTATTAACATCTATCCTACTATCTATATATCTATATTCTATCATCTTATCTGTCTATCTATTAACATTTATCCACCTATCTATATATCTATCTGTCTATCTATCTACTTACCTATCTATCTATCTGTCTGTCTATCTATACATCTATCTAAAAATAAATTCGTACATGTATATTTATACCTATATCTAAGTCGATAGAGAGAGAGAGAGAGGAGAGAGAGAGAGAGAGAGAGAGAGAGAGAGAGAGAGAGAGAGAGAGAGAGAGAGAGAGAGAGAGAGAGAGAGAGAGAAAGAGAGAAAGAGAAAGAGAGAGAGAGAAAGAGAGAGAGAGGGAGAGAGAAAGAGAAAGAGAGAGAGAGGAGAGATAAACAAACAGTTAGAAATGAACATAAACATCTAAACAGACAGATAAATCAATAAATAAACAAATCATGCACAGACAGACAGGAGAGACGAGCAGAGTAAAGACCAACAAAGAACATGATAATGAAACTCAAGATGATGAACAAAATGATGAGTATGGTGATACAGTGAGTCGTACAGTGATCATGGTGCCCTGAAATCTGCCGTTCTCCGCCCTGGAACGTTTCGTAGTTTCGACTTAATGTGAAAGGTCGGGTGGGCCGAGAGGTCAAAGGTCACACGATTTTTGAAAGGGGTTCCAAGGCCGAAGAAAGAAAGAGAGATTGAAGGAGTAAATATGCGAAATTGGGAAGAAGAAGAAGAAGAAGAAGAAGAAGAAGAAGAAGGAGAAAAAGTGCTAAGCTAACAGGAAATTATGCTTGTGTATATACATGCATACACTGTTCACAACGCATGCATATATGTATATCTGTATGTGTACATACGCGAGTGTGCTTGCGCATACTAGCATACACAAATATGCTCACACACACAAATATATGTTTATATATGTATGTACATATATGTTTACATATGTATTTATATACATACATATGTATATATATATATATATATATATATATATATATATATATATATATATATATATATATATATATATATATATATATATATATATATATAATATATTATATATATATATATATGTATATATATATATATATATATATATATATATATATATATATATATATATATA